CGACCAAGTTAAAAAAAAGGTAAGGGTGAATTGAAACCCAGTTAGCTGTTATTCCTGGTGGACTGACGATCCAATTGCAACCTTTAGATGTGTCTGTGAATAAACCATTTAAGCAAAACATGCATGAACATTGGAACAAGTGGATGACTAAGCCACATCATGACCTCACACCCACAGGAAGAATGAAGCGGCCCACCACTGCCCAAATGTGTGAGTGGGTGAAGAGATCTTGGGATGACGTTAGGCCTAAAATCATTGTGAAGTCTTTTAAGAAGTGTGGCATTAGCAATGCTCTTGATGGCACAGAAGATAATATGTTATTTGAAGTCAGTGATTCCAGCAGTAGTGACGAAGATGAAGAATTTTCTGGTTATGAAGATGATTAAAGTGTATCCCCATTTTCTTACTGTGTTTTAGTTTATGTTCAAGTGTTTTCTGCTTGTGTAATGTGCTGTTAGATTACTTTCACCAAAATATGCTTAAATACACTAAAACCTTTTTTTCCTGAATCTGACCTGCTGAAATGGGGGTGCGTCTTATATACCCATGCGTCCTATATGCCATCAAATACGGTACTTAATATTTTTGTTTGTTTGCTGTTAAGCATAAAGCTACATATTGGGCTATCTGTTATCCAAACTGATTTTTAGCATTATACGTCCGAAGACTTATCACTGAGCCACCAAAGGGCCAATATTTTTGGGATGAAATTTATTTCAATAATTATGAAGTAACAGAAAAAATGAATATGAATTAAGTTATTAAATGTACTAAAAACACAAAAAAGCTGTTTTAACTTACTTTTCATTATGCATTATGGCTAAAGTAATCTCTGGATTCACCTCAAGCTTCACTTTGATCCTACTTTTACAGTAAATGAACATTTTAAGTTTTATAGTAAAAGCATGTTTAATATATTTTTTATATGTATTTAAAAACTGGAAAAAGAAAGAGGTAGTTTGAAGATAATTTATAAAGTTCTTCAGCACTGCAAATTACACACTAATTTTATTATTTAATAGCAAACACAAAGATGTAAAACTTTCTATCACTGTATCATTAATGGTTTTTGACCATCTGAACAATAACATTTCAAGCAGATGGCACAAGAATTATTACATTTACTTTTCCACTTGGTAAAAAACAATCCTAAGGCTTTACTGGAGATTGAAGTTTGGAATGTAATGTACATATCAATATGTCCAAGCAACAGACCTACTTTATCTTTTCCAGGCTGGCAGTATTACACTGGCTACTTCTGTATGTAATGACTAATTTTAATGAACATAGCTTAACACCTGAATTACTTCTTATAAGTTTGTGAAAAACTTAAAAAAGTGTATAAAAATTGTTCATGTTAAGTAGAGTTTACAAGAAATAAAAGTACAGACAACATGAATATCAAATTTCCATACAAATTCGTTAAAAGGAAACTTAAAGACGTATCTACCTTTTCAAAATGTTTTCCCCTTTCATCCAGACAATGAGTAAGCCACACTAAGACGGCTTCAAATACCTCTTCTTCTTTGGAAACTACTAAGTTATCACTTGAGACAAGTTCTATTAACTTGGTAACACTGATATTCAAAAATTCCTCTTGATGTAATACTTCCGAGAAGGTCCTAAAATTTATATTTCAATTGAAATTGTTGAAGATACATAATCAATAGTTTTTAGTAAAGACAGCAGAAAGTCTGTAGAAACAAAATGCTGTTTGAAAAACCACAAAAAAATAATCACATTAGTTAAGAATCAACAGCTAAAGCATATCAAATTGTATTATAGAAGAAAACAAATATCTATGGTACTACCAAATTATTTAGTATCAGATATAGCACTTTAATAAAAAGGAGAGGAACTTAAATATTAATTTGGAGAAGACAAACATCCTATAATTTAGACAGCCATTTTTTCAGTTGGTAAAATTAATCTTAATATTAGAATATTTCATTTTTTTCATCAAGTGAACCTGTAACTTTAGAGAAAAATTGATAAACCTATTCTTCAGATTATTGTTAGACATACAACATATAAAAATATTTTAGATACCTCATAATTTGCTTTGTAAACTGCAATTTGATAAAATGAAGACAAAATTTCAATTTAAAGTAATACACAATAATGTTCAGTATGATGAAAGCAATTTTTTATACAACACACAAGAAATTCAAATCATAAGTTGTATTATATGTAAAAAATATGTATATTTTTGAAATTATGCGATATAAATACTTGTTACATGTCGTCCTATAAAAGTCCAAATTTCCTTTGTAGAAAAGAAATGAAGAAGAGTGGTCTTAACAATCTGAGCTACTTGAACTCACTTTACACTAACACTAATGGAAAGTTAATTTGTATTGGGCTTTAATCTGATTCCTACTGGACAGGTCCAATGGGTCTACCTTCCAGAGCTTTAGTATAACATAGGCTTAAATCTTAATTTTTACTGAACAAAAATTCTGAAATTCTCATACTACTTGTACAGTTGATTTGTGTTAGGTAAGTGTTAGAACACCCAATAAAGCAATTAAAATCTCTCCTCTTGGCCAATTACTTTGGTACATAGCTTGGGGAAGTTAATTATATTTATAAATGTAATCTAATAATGACTGATGCAGAACTATAGATTTGAAATGAAAATAATGTAAAATTCAACAAATGTAAGAAAATTTGGTGGACTAGACTTTTGAAATCAAGTCACATTTTTTCCACAATTTCTGCAGTCAACTGAATAAAATTAAATGTAGCTGCTCAAGATAAAGTTTGCCTTTTGTAAGTATGATATTCCAGGTCCCATGTTGTTATTAGAACTACTTTCTCAGTCACTATTTATGCACAGTCCGATCAATGGTCATGATTACACACTATTGCCCAATACTCCAATTTTCACTATAATATGCTCTGCAAAGGGCAAGAAGTTCAGTCTTACACCATATACCTTGAAAAAGATGGACATTGGTTTCCAAGATCATGTGTAGGCAAATCAAAAACACAAAGTTCAATACAATTATCTTGGAAGATTTGACAGGTATGTGGTCAAATGGAATTGTTGTGATTACAGGACTTTTAGCTACCCTTCTCATGATAATAGCCCAGCATAAGTATGTACAGACCATTATTATACAGTGTGATTAACATTCTGTATGTACAGAGGGTTGAGTAGGGTATAAAAACAATTTTGAATATGCAAATCAGCAAGTCATTTGACAACTACACCCAATATAAAGTTAAGGTGGATCAGAATTTATCAGAAAACATTTTTACATTATTTAACATTGGTCTCTTTTGGGAAAAGGTCTATAACAGTCCTTTCTGATGCAAAATATTCTCATACTCATATCATAGTGTTCAGATTGAGAGTTTTAGAATTTCCAACACTTGTACTTAAATGCCATTGGATAATAAAGGAATATGAATCAACTTGAGACATCAGAACCATCCAGAAAGAGACTTACAACAAGTCATACTCCCAGCTGTGGTAAGCAAAGAGCTGTATCTTGTAATAAGTGAGAAGATAATAACACAAAGTTTAGTGGCAAGAGCCATCCACATACCCCAGGCAACAGTACACAACATAACAAGAAGGATCTACATGGAGAAGTAAAACAACCTGTTTCAACAATATACCAGTTCAATTGCTTTTATATTTCAAACAACTGGAAGATGAAATCGATGCTATTTCATAAAAAGACCTACAGGTCAAGTCATCTGATGCAGTACCTATGAATCTTTGTGCAAGCAGATTGTTGAAAATGGCACTGAGAAACTTTCATCCCCATAAATTAGATGGATTACCAAAAGCCACAAGAAGAAGTGGTATGATTTGGACATGACAACTTTATGATGAAGCCTTTTGCAATGGAAACTATGCCGCAGGCCTATTGTCAAGATGCATGGCAATCAGATACAGTATGACTAGATATGGTGATGTGAACTGTAACAAAGTGATATAGCTCCAAAATCCTTTTAAAAGAATTTATATTAACCTCTGTAGTATTCACAGTAAAGTGTGATTACTCCTTAGCATGTCTAGTTGGTATAACTTCCTATAAGAAAAGTGTTTGATTCTCAGATGATTTCCAGTACATCTGCATAGTTTGTATCACTACTTACATGGAATGTGTTTGTTCGCTTATTGTTATTTTCACTAAATGTGTGTATATGATATAATCATATGAATGGAATGTGTTCACTTTTCAGGAATATTTCCATAACATCTATGTTATAATTACTTTTAGAATGTGTTTGTAATCTGTATTTACACTACATCTGCATAGTTTATATCACTACTTACATGGAATGTGTTTGTTCGCTTATTGTTATTTTCACTAAATGTGTGTATACGATATAATCATATGAATGGAATGTGTTCACTTTTCAGGAATATTTCCATAACATCTATGTTATAATTACTTTTAGAATGTGTTTGTAATCTGTATTTACACTACATCAGCTTATCTAGTTAATATAATTTTATAAATCAAATTTGTTTGTTTGTCAGCAATACTTCCATTAGATCTGTGATATAACTACCTCATGCAAAGTGTTTGTCCACTGTATTTCCATTCAGTTGTACACTAGAGAAATTATAGAAGACATGAAGAGAGGAGAAATGTGTTGTTTCAAGATGACAAGCTTAAAATGAAGCCTTTTGTTAACGAAAACAATACCGTAAGGCTGTGTCAAAAAGTACAGTCATCAGACAGAGCATGACTGGTTGTGGCAATGTGAACTGTAGTGACATGGTGAGGCTTCAAAATCATTTGCATATAAAGTATTCAATCTCTGTAGCTTACTATTCATTTTGATTGTTACACTTTACACTTATAAGCATTGAAAGTGTTAAAGAAATCTTAGCCTATTTAGCTATCTAGCCTCTCCAGTTAAAATGGTGCATGCAATACTTTATTCTTATTTCCTGTTCAAGTACAATCTCATTCTAATTAGCCCTTTCTGGAGTAGGGGGAATCAATGATATACCTTGATTTTTCCTTCTCACAAGAAACTTGGAATAAATCTATAGTAAAGTACCTAGTTTAAGCATAAAAAATACATATAATCTGACTTAGTGTTCTATAACTTTTTAAGTCATAAAAATTACAATATTTTGTTGTGAGACACTTTTTTTTTGAAAAAACATGAAAAATGTTTCATCTCAGAATATAAATTTTATCATTTTCTTACACTGAAATTAGATATCCGATATATACTTACCTCTTCTTACATAACAGCTTTTTCTCATTCTCCTACTGCCCTCTAACACATTGAAAAGAATTTTTTTTTTCGCTTAATACACTAGCTTTTCTACCCCATAACTTTGAGCTGCTCATTTAGCATGCATAGAACCTGAGACAATCCTCCATCAATAGGAGCATGACACACCCTTTCAGATCAGCTGGCTCCCAGTGTATTATTCTACATGTATCTCACTTTCAAGATTAGGTACACAAGAAACGTAATAACACTGGAAGTAGGGAGGAAGGGTAGAAAGTATGTGAGAGGAGACTTCTATTTTCAGTGTAAGAAAATGATAAATTATGATACGATACACAGCTCCTCTTACATAACACCTAGAATCCCACACTGAGTAGGTAGAGGGAATGATGTACTATATAAAACAAGAGACCCCCTGCAGAAAGCATCCATAGAGAATTGAACGTGGGTGCTTCATAATAGTGGGGAAGCACACTTATGGGGAACTGCACCACATCTGGAACAGGTATGCTCTTCGCCCTCAAAGAAGTGGAGTGTCATTAAATTAGTAGAATCAAGGGCAGGACTATTAAAAAAAAGGCCTCAGAAAACAAAATAATAGCATATACCCAACTCCAACTGTACAGACGAGGTTCAACCACCAACAAAGGTTGGTCTAAAGGAAAGAAGGAAGGATAACTGGAAGATTCAAGGGATCTGAGTGGAAGTCCCATCAATCATGAAACTCTCACTGCGGGGAACACATGTAAGCACGACCAATGGGCACTAGAGCTTCCAAAGAAGCCGACTACCCAAAAGAGATAGAACCTCTCAAGTTGGCAGAGAAGGAAAGGAAGGAACTTGATAACCAACTGCTCAATATCCTGAATATGTAGTGGAGAAAGCTGGACCAGAATGAGGTGGGAATTGAAGCAAACTCCCAAGTGAACCAAGTTCTGGATAGGGAAAAGGATGGACTTCTCCACTTTGATTAACCAACCCACACGCACTGCCTCCTCAAAGAGTAAATAGGTGTGAGCAGCAGATGCCAAACAGGAAAGAGCCATAAGAAGTCAGTCTTCCATATAATGATAAGACCGGAGTCCCAAAAAACACATAAAGGGCCAAGGTAAGCCTAAATGGCCCTCATAGACTAACCAAAGAAAATGAGGAGAGGAAAGAGAGATGGGAATGTGAAGACATGCATCTGCTACATTGAACTTAGTCATTCACAGACCAAGAGTGAAAACCCAACTAAGGGTGAGAAATTATTCCAGTGCAATGAGGAGGATCCAGAAATTGATTGAGATGGTTTTCTTGGGGACAACAAAAAGGGTAAAACCCTGGCTCATTGAGAAACATGGGATCTATGGTATGTTTGTGAAGAAGGTTTCTAACTGCCTTGGACAGACAAGCACTGGAGACTGATTCCTTGGAGGAGGGAATGGGAAGGGAGACAAAGAAAGGGGAGGTGGCAATCAGAATTGAAGAGAAACCCACTGAAAAAACCCACAGAACTCATGGATTGGTAGTGAAGGTCTCCCAAGTGTTGATAAAACATTGGAGCATAGCTCCCACAGGACCTGACCCCACAGTGTAGTCACTGATAGCACTGATGACATTCATGACAAGAATGAGAAGCATGAGGATAAGAGTGAAAATGTTGAGATGCAGGTAAAGGACAAGGTATGGATGGAGGAGAATGGGAAACAACAATATGATCAGGAGACACAGAGGCAGAATTTTGTGATAAATGATTACCAAAGAATGAGAGGGAATTATGCAACTTGACCACATCAACACAGAACACCAAATAATCAGGACGGCCCCTGAATATCGTGTCATGCAAAAATGGAGCCACTCATAAGTCCCTGAGGGAAGATGGGAGGCAAACCCCCACAAGCAGCACATCTCTCCCGAACAGGTCCCATAAACAAAGCAGCCAGGTTGATGAAGATAGTCTGGCCAATGTGGACCACAGAAGAGATCCGAGATCTCCTGAAAATTCATTGGGGGGATGACGAAAGGCCTCTGACAAAAGGTGCTTGTGAAAATGACACAAAAGCCTCAGGATTCAAAGAGCAATGAAATGCCAAAGCATGTTGGTTTGAAACTCAAGGAGGTCAAAGCATATGAACTCCTGAATTTAACTGTGAGAAAAACTGCTGAGCACGATTCTCAATTTCCAGTGAATGGAGAAACACCAAATAGTCAAATTAGGGAGCTCAAACAAAAGAAAAGGAGAAGCTTCAGAGGAAATAGGAAAAACTGTCAAAATGTGACAAACCTGTGTAATTAATTAGAGGAAAGGAATAGAAGAGCAAAACTGTTTGATAGGTGTCTGAATTGGAGGCACAGGAAATGAAGGAGCAGGCAATATCCTGTTTAAATCATCCTTGTCCTGAACATGCTCATCAGCTGGAAGTGGCGCTGACCCAAGTGGGGAAGAAGGCCCAGATATTAACTCCCAACAAACCAAGGCTTGCACCTCCTCGGCAAACAATGTTAATCTGGAGGCCTAGATAACCATATTGTGTGAGTCTCCCGAAACATCGGGAGCCATAGTGATATTCACAGTAAATCACAAATTCATAACTTACAAAAAAAAGTGGAAAATAACTGATCCAGGCTTTAAAATTTTTTTTAGCAATGCACAATTTTGACATGTATGCAAGAATTATCCAAGCAAACTTAAAATTAGTTTGACTGTAGCAAAATACAAATAACACAATGTATTGAAAACCAAAAGCAAGTGAGAAATATGTCCATCTTAAGTTTGCCAATCAAGAAAGCGAGTTACACGTAAAATAAAACAGAGGGAGCCAGCTGCTCTAGGAGGGTGTGTTTGCTCCTAGTGGTGGAGAGTTGTTGCATGCTCTATGCATGATAAATGAACAGCTCGAACTTATGAAGCAGAAGGGCTAGTGCATCAAGCAAGAAAAAATATCTTTTCAATGCGTTAGAGGGGAGTAGAAGATAAAGAAAAGCTGTTATGTGAGAGAAGGTATGTATCACACCAGAATTTTATTATTATTGACCAAAAAGTTCTATTTTATATATCCAGCCAGATTCAACTTGATTCATATTCATTAACATATTTCTTTTTCAACTTTACTTTGCTGATTGCAGTAGTTACCACTCATAAAAAGCATGGCACAAACTGACAAAAATTTATTGGTAACCTAAGTAAGACCCGACCTTTCAAGATGGTGTCAGGTCATGCTAGGTAACAATATTTTTGGTTGAAGTCTGTTTATATCCAATAAATGTACTTTGTTTTCAATAAATTGTAAGTTTATTTATTTATGTACATTTTTTCAATACAATAAACTTAAAAGTTATATTAAATAAATAAGGATTTGAGTCACTTGAATATACTGCTATTGCTGCTTTACTGTCTAAACCTAATAACGCTTACCTGATGTCTTGTCATAACTTTCATATAACTTTTGTTTTCATGAACAAAAAAAGTCTAAAGAAACTACAAAAAAATTTCCCAGACATGTGGTTTGTTCCCAAGTCTTCTAATCATTTTCCCACAAAAACATAAATTATTTCACATATCACTTTATTCACTCCACACTGTTGCAAATAGTTTGTTATCTGTTCTATCCAATGGTATTCAATCTTTGCCTGTAGCTACTTTCAAACCAAAGCTTTATTAGTGTTTTTTTTTCAGATGAAATACTGTGAGGCCATAAAAAGGGGTAGGAACATAAGCTGTACCTAATAAAATCTGTAAAAAGAGAAACAAAACCTTGTAATTACGTTCTCAAGATATGATACTTTTTTAGCAAGTATAAAATGATTGACAAAAAAATTCTAACACTATCAATAAGTATGTTGTTGACACCTGACTCTCCTTGGAACTGTGCATACATGTTTATTTATCCAAGTTTGAACATTTTTCTCCATATTTGTTTTACAAATTACACTACATAAATGTTACAAAATGATAAAATGTCAATTCTAAAATATTTTTATGTGCAAAATTGTTGAAATAGAATTACAAATATAATTTTTACTTAAATTAAAAAATTTGAGATGCAGGTTACACTTGACATTTGAAAAGTGTTTCAATCAGTTTGGAAATGGTTAATGTTATTTTGATTAAAGTTATTTCTGAAGAAGTAAAGTATTTCAATTTCATGAAATATGAGTCTCCCAAACCTTGAGTAAAGGCCTTCTAACCTATTTTATGTCTACAAATGAGAAATAATTCCTATCTATTTCAGGATACAGACATAAAACCTCTCTTCATCATACTCATCAGATAAATATTTGATAAAAACCTAAAAATAAAAGCTTTTAAACTCTCTTGTATAAATATGTTAACTATGTGAAAAACTTGACTGAGAAGTTTCGCTATAACATTGGGAAAAAAGTATTTTCACCTTTGTTCTACATACCTGACAGGTAAATCTTACAACCTATAAGAAAAGATCTTCTAACCTTTCCAAATTATAGCTAGCTGTTAAGTAAGTCTCAACAACCTTGAAAAAAGTATTTAATTTTTCTTGTTTATACATGGGTTCCAGATATATCACACATACCTTAAAATAAAGTCCTTTGACTTCTGCTGTAGTTCAGCACAGTCATGAGTTTCAGCAAAACAGTGAATGCCAACACAGTTTGTTTCATCCATGTGCCTTTCCATAAAACCACAGCAGGCATCTCGGACAGGCAATACCTCAAGCAGGTTTGCTGCCGACAGGAGAGCCTGAACGTTGTCTTTTTTTATGGTCACCTGGCCAGTATAAGCATAGTGTAGAAGTGAACGCAAGGCTGTGACTTCAACACCATTTAAAACAACTTTCTCTTGCTGGCTTTCTGCAAGGTCACCTCCAAACATGGCCTAAAGACAAAAAGCACTTCTAAAGGTTAAAAATATATCTAGATGTAACAAAGGTTATATTTTTAAAAAGAAGGAATAATACGTTGGAAAAAAAATGAAAAAAGAGTAAGTTGTAAATTAAAAACTGTACATGATACATATACTTGCAACTCGGAAATGTCGTCTTTGCCACTGGACGATGAAATATGAAAAAAACTTCTTTACACATACAAAGTAACTGGTGATACTATTATAAAAAATATATATTTAATTTTAAATTTGTATACACATTATTTGTTCAGACTGTTCCTTTAGCTATTTGCCAAATCACTCTAATGATAAAAGCATTGAGAAAATAATTGTAGTTGGTCCAAGAATTTTGTAATTTTCCCAAACTACAAAAACTCCACTTGAATCCACAATTTCCAAAAATATCACAATTACATAACTGAAAGAGCTTGACTCCATATATTATATTTGTGATTCACACAACCACCCCATCATAATAATGACTTGAATCTTGTTACTAAAAATCATAATAACATGAAAAATTACATTAATATGCTCGAGATGCATAAAGACAATTTAGTTAATGTGAACAAGATGGTTCAGAGAATTGTTGAATATATTAACTTTGGTGCCTAAGACTTATCTCATTAATCCACATAGTTTAGAAAGAATTATTTTTCATCCTGCTGCCCCTCCTATATTCCTGAGGTTTTAAGTTTTTACCAGCTGTCTAAATGATAAAAAATGTTTTATTTCTACAACTTCAAATTCCACATTTAGCATAACCAACATTAACTAACAGGCCTCACTTTATAAATAAACAAAATTTAACAGAAATTTTAATTGTCAAAGCACAAACTCTATCTTCACAGCACTGAACTAACTAATTGGCTGATATTAACAAACTGACAATTATGCACTGATAACTCATTAACTTAATAACAAACTCACTCACTCAATAGCTCACTAACAGATTCAATCTAGCCTAACTAAATTTTATGAAAAAGCCTCAAGAAGAGAGATGCACACTTGAGGACAATAGATCCTGAGAAAGGTGTCACTAGTCCTGCAAGTTCAATGGGAAGAGGATGTGTTTGCAATTTGAATGAATGAGTGGTTCAAGTGAAGCCAAAGTTCTCAAAAGTAAATGAACCTTGTTTGCAGGGTGTGAAACAAAAGCACAAACCTAGGTGACAAGACATTCTATTGTTCATAAACAAAGTGGGGAAGGCTAAGCCCGACTGAGATGGCAGTGGAAGAACACATCCATATGTACCAAACATACGGTGAGTGTGAGAAAAAAAAAATGAAAAAGCTTGACAAGCTAGGCCAGCTAAGCATTCTCCTGCAAAATAATACATGTGCAAGATAAGGAGTAAACTCAAGAAGGGGTGAGGAAAAGCTAATCATCCATGTCATAATGTAACCTCAGCCCCAATCTGTGAATAAGGTGGGCAAACGCCCTTTGACTTGAATAAAGACATATGGAGCAGATGCAATGCCATTGACCTGAAAGACCCAACTTTGATGGACAAAACAAAGAAACATCTAGAGGAAGTGGCAATTAGAATGTGTAAAAAGGTGTCTGAAACAATTGTGGCAAAAATAACTACCAGAGAGAGAGAGAAAAGAAATCCTCCATATGGAACCAAGGGATAAGAAAGTGGTTGAGAGATGATAAATTGATAACCAACACCAGTCTCCAGTCTTCTTGGGAATAAAAAAAAAAAAATGAGGGTAATAATCAGGTGTAGGGGTCAATAACCTCTTGATGGCATTCTTGTCCAAGAGACCTGAGATTACATCCTTGAAATAATTAACGAAGATAAATGGGAAGGAGGTAAAGAGAAGTGGAGAGATAGGTCATGGGTGAGAACATGAAGATCCCATCTGTCAGAAAAATGGAGACTAAAGGCTGGTTAAGAGACAGAGTGGTTAGGTTGAGAAAAGTGGGAAACCATTGTAAACAATGATGACTGATGCCAGACCACCTCAGCCCAGCTTTCCAGGACCACTCCAAAAGGCCTCAGAGCAAATATATGGGGCCCAATGAAGATCACAAAGATAAGCACGAGGAAGGCATACATTAACCAGGAGAGCATCCTATCCTGACAAGTCCCAAAAGAAGAGGAACCAAGTAAGGAGAGAAAGAGTAGAAGAAGTAAAAAACAATGTGGTAAAAAGAAGAGAATAAACATCTCCAGAAAACCCCTCCATAAGGTGAAGTGACAAGGGGTGATGAAGGAGGGTGGTAAGAAAAAGATATAAGTACGAAAGTTGGGCACTAGAAAAGGAAATGTTAAGGGGTCCACCTTCCAAACAGGTAAAAAGAAATGACAAAGAACTGGGAATCAAGGAAGGGAAATGAAGAATTGCTGTAAGCCAGAAAAAAAAGTCAAATAGGTGAGGCATGTCAGTGCATGTGTGCAGATGTTTGAGATATGAATCTGCATAGACCCAATTGTCAGGTTAAGGAAGGAATAAAAGTAGTCTCGAGTATGGGTTTCATGTAGTAAAGCATTGGAAGAATCAAAAGACTAAGGGGAACGAGAAAAAAAACAAAATACTTGCAAAATCATGCTAAAAAAAAAAGAAATAAAAAGAGTGAGGATTTTCCTCCACAGATAAAGCTGTGACTAGAACAGACCTTGTCAGAGAAGATAGCAGGTCAAAAGTGACAACAACCTGATCATATTCAAACTGGGGAGAAGGAACGTCGACTGAATGGATGGGAGGAGGAGGCCAGTGTACATGAAGGAACTCACATCACACTGAATAATTGCTGCCACATTCACCACAGACATGAAGCCCCCAGTAGCCACAGGTTCTATGTTAGGAACATTGTTACTATCACAGGACGAAGCAGAAGTTATCACTATTTGTGAATTCATAATGGGTAAGCAAGAAAAAAATGATTAATTTGTGTTTTTAAAAGAAACCAGCAGAACTTAAACCAAAATTTCAATTTTGTAAACTATTGCAAATCTCACATAATTGATTAATAAACTTCAAAAAATGTCCATTCTAGACAATGTCGAGGAAAAGAATGAAGTTATTTTGAGCACAGGTGATTAAGAGGAGTTACAGCACAAGGAGATTATGTTGCTCTCCTATTGGTGAAGGGTTATCGTCGCATGATGATGATGTCAACATACACTAGTGCAGTTCAAGTTAAACATGATTTTTAGGTGGGAGTTAGATCAAGGTTAGTGGAATGCAAATCTCATAGGTAAATGTGGAAGGGATAAAGCTATTCTTTGAGAAGAGGTAAGTTATCATCTCAGAAGTCAAGAGTACCTATGCTACACATGTTAATCTGATCCAGTTCAATATTCACTTAATGTCTACAGACATACAGATACGAAAAAATATGCTAATATTATAAGGGTATCATGCTAAGCTTAATCTATATCTCATTGTAATTTAGATATAACTTCTCAAAACCTCTGTATTTACAATAACTAAAAGAAATTCTAGTCTCAACTTATACAACTTTCTACCCAAAAATATCCAAAATAGCACCTTTCCTGACTTACTAATAATGCTGAGCAATGATTCTTATGAAAATATTTCATTAAATATTTGGATTGATCATGCAATTAAAAAGAGTCGTTCTTTATGCATTGCTTGTGCATTTATTTTGTATTCAATTATATTTGGACAAGATTTTTACAAAATATTCAACTTATCCTAGAATAAGAACTGAAAGATTAAGAAAAGAAAATTTTTTATTCAAAAAAATACTATGTTATTTCTATGTATATTTGATTTTTTAATAATACAAACAAATTTTAAAACTCTGAAAAGCTCTTTAACATAGTGTGACATACAGTTTGACAGTAACATTTTATTGATATTATGTTATCTGCAAAATTTCCTTCACATCATCATGTTACTTTATTAATCATGTGTTTTAATTTATCAGTGTAATCCTAGTAGAGTCAAGTTCAGCCACTTTTATTTACCATGACTAAGTCAATGTCCCACCAGACTATATCTACATGATGACACTTGTATTAAGAAATTTCTCTGGCAAGGAAAAGAAGATGAAAATGGCGTGATGGAGGTAAGGATCTATTTGAATTTCATTGTAAAATAACAGTGTGAACTTGAAATATGTACTAGAATCTCCACAAAACTGTGGAAAGGGGACTGGAGAAAGCAGAAAGATTTTGATCATTCTGAAACCCATTACAAATTAAAATCACTAGCAGAAATGCCACCCTAACCTTATTCATACATTATTGAAAAATTTTTGAAAATGTGAGCATTTTCTAAAAAAAAAATGATATTTTTCCAAGAAGTACTGCAAAGGAAAAGTGTTCCGATTATTCTCTTTAGTCATACGCAACTCATTGCATCAAAATGATTGAATGTACAGAGCTCATAATTTTTACTGATATAAACTGTACTGTTTTTATATATTACAAGTGGTACTCTTTACTGAAATAAATAATAGTTTCTTTAAGAACTCCAGTGCTATATTTAAAAATTACATCAATAAAGATATAACCAGACCCTCATGTACTGCTCTAGTGAAAGTCACGTTCTTGTTGTGAGGAAAGTACTTTTATTGAAAATTGTGTTCTATAATAAAGAAATGGTTGTTGCACATACTACAGTTATTTTTCTAATTGTCTGAATCTTGAATACCCAAAGAGTGAAATTTTTTATGCAATTTTGTTTGTGGTGCCATTCAGTAGATGGCGCAGGAATTTTGGTTACATACATAGATACTGACATACACTCTATGTCCATTATTGTAAGATATGTTAAGAGAACAAAAGATAGGCCTATTTAACAAGCAATCCAACTAAACATCAATAATATCAAGAAAAAAAATATAATCACACAAAGACATGCAGGTGGAATATTGACTTGTTCATACCAAACACAAGGAAATGCATGTGACAGCTGAAGCTGACTATACTATGATTATCCTAATAGAATAAAACATGTGACTAATATAATCATGTGAAAGGAGATTGTTCAGATAATGACATATCATAATTTAACGGGAAGGAGATGATAGAAAGAGACTAGCAAAAGCAACTGGAAGGTCTATATTAGCCAATATAACATCACAGAAGTTACAGTAGAGGTAAATTGTTGTATTTGAAAAAAATACTTTGATCTTACCCTAAAATAAGGACTGAAGCAAGCCAAAACCACTTTGTGACAGTAAAAAGTTTCTTCATCAACACACAAGGTGACATCACAGAATGTACCATCTAGTCTTAAAGAATTCAAGCCAGCTAGTACCTTTAAGAACAATCAAACAATTTAAATTCACAGGTTATTTTAATACAAGAAAATAAGTAGTTTTTCATTACAATTTATTGTCAGATTTGCAATAAATAACATTAAAAATTTTGTTGTAGGCAACTACAGAGTTATACATTTGTCAAAAAATTGATCTACAATATCAACTGACTTTTGAGATGTTTTAATGGTGTTAGACTTACATAATTCATATTTTCATATGCATGTGGCTAACTTTAGCATAGTTTTAACATGTTGGCTGCCATGTGACCCTCTAGTGGTTTACAGACCATAATATTTAAAATATAAAGTTTCTTTGTGGCAATTGACTCTAAGATATTGTAATTGCTTCTTGGCACTTGAGGAAGTTCTTGTTTACGAAATAACATTGTGATTTTGCTGCCATTCATGAAACATAAAAACTTTGGAAATAAAAGCAAAATCACTGGCGGACACATACTAAAAACCACTTCAAGTAGATAGTTAAAACATAGGATTGTCAACTGTGATTATATTATAAACCTGGGTTAAGCATAGAGGTTCATATTGCAGTTGGCACCAGAATGTGGATAAATATTTTATAAGGTGGCAGCCAATGTGTTAAGGCTGTCAAAAATGAAAACAACGAAACATTGCAAAGCCAAATTCAAAGTATTATCAACAATTACATTTTAAAACTAAAACTTAACTTTAATTTTCACTTAATAATATAATAAACCTTTTTATCACATATGTATGTAAGTATTCTGTATTTCTAATTTCCTCAGCACTTAAAATTAAGATCAACAAAAAGTATACTTCTGACACAATCATGCTAATTCTGATACAAGAATAGCAGTCACATATAAAAACAACAATAGATGCTTTTCACAAACTATCTACAGGTATAATATTTACATTATCATCACATCAAAATCAGAATTCCTGTTTTTAAATTATAATATTCTGTTGCCTCAGGATTTATGGGGATTGCTTGTATTTTTGGTAGCTTAGTGGTAGAGTACTGGCCTTGCTTGCCAGAGGTCCCGCATTCAAGTCCCGATTCTGGGGTTTTTTTGAACGTATCAAATTTTCACTTAATTATTTAATATTAATTATTGCAATATAATAATATTATTAATTCATAGTTTCCTAATGGAATTTGAAAAACTTATACAAGTCTGTGACACATCTATGATTTGGTCTTTGTACCTGTCAAACTATTGTAATCATACTCAAAACAGAAACTTCAGAAGTGAACATTGAAAAGGACAGCTTGTACTCTTGAGTAGCTTAGTGGTAGACCACTGACCTTGTTAACCATAGATCCCAGGATCAGGTCCTGGTCCCAGAGTCTCTTTTCACTTACCACCTTTTTCACTTAAATACTTATTACAATATGATAATACTACTGATGTAAGAAGAACAAAAACAGATAAAACAATAATATGCCCTTTCCAGGAATCATGCACTTGTGTAAAATTTACCTTGCTGCATACATATCAAAACCAGAAGCATTGCTTTAAAATTATAATCTTTTGTTGCATCATGATTCTTCCTATGTTACTAGGTGAAATTTGGTTTTAAAATAAAGCAATTAAACATTTGTTTGTTCTGATTTTGATTAACTTGTTATCTTTGGAATTCAAACTATTTCACTTTAAAATGGCATGTAAAATCCTCATACAACTAGGTTTCTCTTACATTAAAAACATTTTCTTTTAGTTAAGCCTTTTATATAATTCTGTTTCCATACACAACAATGTGAATACTTTTGAACATAACACACAAGTGACCATTTGTTACTTCAAGGTTGTTTTGTACACCCAGCCTTGAGAAAGATAAAACTGTTCTAACAAGAATTGAATTTGTCTTTCCAAATTTTAAACTTGTGTCTTATTACCATCAGAATAAAACACAAAAAATTCAGAAGCTATTGATTTCCTGGGAATTTCAGTAATATTCCCCTTACACTTCTGTTCTTAAGAGAAAATAAATTAAAATATTCTAACTTATCCATCCCCTTACATCATCCCAGTAGTCCTCCTCTGAATCCTTTCCAATAAGTCAACAGCCTTTCTTTGATAAGGAGACTAAAACTGTATACAACATTTCAAGTGAGGCCTACCTAGTAATTTGTATAGAGACAATTACCACTTTTAACTTATAATTAACATGTCTAGAGATATGCCCTAAAATTATGTTAGCTTTACTACTAGCAACAGAGCACTGCTTTGATGACTTGAATGACTAATCCACTACTTTATGCCAATATTCTTTTCTTCAGTCACACTCTTTAGTGGGTTCCCATCAATATTAAATATGTGGACCAAATTAAGTACATAGCTTACTCTGATCAGAAGTTATTATTATTATTATATAATTAATGGTCATTTTCCAAGTATTTGTCAAACTTACTAAGTGATCCAAGTCATTTTGTAATACCTCAACATCCTCAATACACCTAGAAATACCCAAGAGTTTAATGTCATCAGCAAAGTTTACTTATTTACTATTATGCTTATATCAATATCATAATGCAAGTAAGAAAAAGCAAAAGGCATAAACACTGATTCCTGAGACACTCCATTAGTAGGAAGTTTGAGTGTACTCTGCCATTAACTACCTTTTGCTTTCTACCATCCAATTAACTAATATTCCCCCAACTCCTATTGATGTAATTTTCTTTGTTAACTATTTTTGTGGCACCTTATAAAAAACATTTTAAAATCTAAGTACACAACTTTCAAAAAAATACATGAGATTAGTAAGGTAATACTTCTCTATGATAAATCCATGTTAGTTTTCATTTACGACATCATGTTTCACTAAATGATTGTGTAAGGTTTCTTTTTATCACACTCTAGAAAATTTCACACTACAGAAGTAAGACTATCTGCCCTATAGTTTCTCGGGCAACTTTATCACCCCCTTTCAAAATAGGAGAAACATTAGCAACTCTCCAATATTCAGACACTTGCCCACTATCTAATGACCTACCAAAAATGAAAAAGAGAAAGACTCACATATCTGATCTTTGAACTCCTTTAACACTCTGGGTAAAAACTTGTTTGATCTTGGTACCTTATCTCTCAATTTTTCACTTACCACCATGACATTAATATCTACATGTAGCAATACATCAAATATAATTAAACAATGATCAATCTTCCCCAAAATAATCCTGTACTTCATCTTTTACAACCACATCCATAATAGTGGCTAACAATAAATCTAAAATGCCCCCCCCCCCCAGGTTGGCTCTCTGACCAGTTGGAAGAGAAAACTATCCTGAAAAACTTCAAGAAATCTTTCTTCCTCACTGTTTTATTCCATACAATCTCAATTAATATATATAAAATTAAAGTCTTCCATAATTATTGCATCATTATTCTTATTAGTAGCAACCCTTATCTCATTATATATTTTTTCATTGACTGCATCTATCTGATCAGGCAGCCTATAAGACTTTTCAAAACTTACTGTTCTTGAAATCTTGATTGCAACCAAAATAAATCCAACCTCTGAACTACTTTAATCCTAACAAGCTCCAGCTCATTCTTTACATATATAATAACTCCACACCTCTTTAAAAAAAAAAAGACTATAATTATTTAATAGCTCATAACTTGGAATTTAAAACTAATTCTATTATCAGTATTCTCCAAGTATAACTAAATTTCAGTAACTTCCATTTCAACTACAGATCTGAACACATTCATTTGTTCCTAATACTCCTAACATTATAATAGTAACTAAGCATGTTCTTAAATCTACTACATTTGAAGATAATAATTCCTATCATTAATTCACACCAATAAGGAATATCACATTTCTTAAAAAAGTTCCAAGTTATAACTAAAAATTCACTGTATACTTAAACAGCCTTTATTTCATTTTGTATACCCTGTAAAGCATACTTATCATAGCAAACTGCAAACCTCAAATGAGTGAGATTTTTCGACAAAGACGTATGCATCCTGCTCTAGGGTGCTAAAACTAGAATCTGATTCTCCATTAGAAGGTACTACTTGTTCCTGATTGACTGGACCTTCTTCATCATTAGGACTTCCCAACAGCATTTCTGGATAAAATATTTAAAATACATTTTTCAAAGTAGGCTAAAAATATATCTAAGAAATGCTCAATTCCCTACATGTATATTAAAATAATTAATAAGGAATTTCAAAGATATAATTAATAAAATATGTTATAATGCGAACAACTTCTTGATAATGTATGGGAGAAAACGAAATGAAGTGTACATACCACAAACTTTTTACAATTATCCCTGGCAACTTTAAATCATGAAGTCCATTCCAATAATTGATTTTAAGAATAACCGAGGTCTTCACTTTAATCTCTTAGCAGCAACTTTTTTCCCTTCTGAAAAAAGTAGCATATATAAATATAAATGTCTTATATACATATATAAACACAAACATTTTCAGATGGCATGTCAATTGGCTGGAGGTAAGAAAATTTTAAATAGAACAATTATCAACAGTGAGCATCAGCTTATCCTTTATAAACACTATACAATCTATGCAGAGTTCATGCTAGTACTGACAACTGAAATCATTTTAAATGTTCAATTTTCATTGTTTTCTTCAACTTAAAGGTTAAATTCATCTAATGCATCATGAACACTTTTTACATTACTATTTACAACCATATTCCTAACTTACAGAAAAATGCACACTCAATGTCTCTTACACTTACAATGAGCACCTATGTTGAAATATATGTGAAGGCCAAGACTGAAAGTAGTAAACATGTTTTAACTGTTTGAAGGTTGAAATTATAACCTGGTAATATCTGTTGCATAAAGGAAGTGGAGAGTTTCACAGAAGAAACTTTCAAAAACAAAACCTTAAAATTGGTTGCATAAAATACAATTTCAATTATAAAGATTTGCAACTAAACTTAGTTTTATGTTGCATTGTTCAGTGCAAAAAATGGTGCAGTTACAATTCAAACATTTACTTTCCTACAAATAGAAATATATATATATGTAATTCAAACTTTTAGATTCCTGCACTCAGTTTAACCACAGTAGTGTACCTTTTCTTCATTTATAAATTATAGGTATACACGTTTTTCTGCGAGAGATAGAAATTACCAACAGGTATACATAGATAACTATCAGTACTATAACTTATAAATAAAACAGGCCTACACCAATGACGCAGTAGTAGCTAGCAGTACTAGTACTAGCACAAGTTACTAATACTAGTAGTAGTACTAGTAGTTAAGTTCAGTACCAGAAGATTACCAAATTAACATTTAAACATATTAAGGGTTATTGGTTCAAACAACAAGCCACGTTTTTCCAGTATATATTTTGCTACGCCTCTACAAAGTAAAACTTACAGTTAAAAGAATAAGTCACGAAGATATAAAACAAAAATTACCAGTCCCATTCCCATAACAACCTGAAATCTAGGTTCTACGTACACAGCGCCCTCCTAGTATTGGTTGACGTTATTGAGATTTATTGCAAAAATGTCATGACATCCTGAAACGTAACTGTTATCCACAACACTTATTAGAAAACATTACCAACACCTTCCTAACAAAGAAACTCACAAATCCAATTAAGATACCAACTATACCTAAATTTACTATATATACTCGTGTCTTCCTTAAACTGGCAAACAAAGCTTAAATTTAAAAAAATCAACTTAAACGCATATTTGGTCGTTACTACCCTCAAGTGGATTTAAGATTAGTGTTTAAATCCACATCACGTATAAAAAAATGTCTTCCCTACTAAAGATCTCCTCCCCATTCCCTATTGTTCTTGGCTTGTCTATCTCTACACGTGTGGAGGCTGTAAGGCCTCCTATATTGGCAAAACCAAACGCCATTTAAAAGTCAGAGCCTATGAACATATGGGAATTTCCATTAAAACGCAAAAAATAAAAATTGAATAACCCCTGTGTTTCCTCTATACGCCAGCATGGTGAAGAAATAGGACATAAACCTATACTATCAAATTTCTCTATCCTCTGCAAGTCTAATACTGACCCGGAATTATTGATCAAAGAAATCCTCCACATCAAACAGCACTCTCCAACTCTGAACAACATGCAGTATTCATTTAAATTATACATTTTTCAATATGTTCGTATTACTGATTTTATTTTTTTTCGTTGTGTTTTCTTGCTGTAGTTTCTCCCCATGATTACTGTTTAGTGTTTTATTTGTTTAATTATCGTTGTACTTAGCAACTATAATTTGAAAATGTATAAAGACTGATGTAAATTCATTTTATTCTGCTTTAGATACTAAAAATGGAATCTGATAGAATTCCGAAACGTTTATCCATGTCCCCTTTTTGTCAATAAACAATGTTGTATATCATAAGTGTCGTAATCTTGTTTATAATCAAACTTCGTTTTCCTTTGAACACATCTATTGCTAATGTCATGTAAAATACATAAAAACAATAAGTCACGATACACACATCAGCGTGCCATCACACACGTAATATTGTGTGAGCTTACGAAAACATTTGATTTATTCTTTGGCATCTAATTTAGAGATCGAACACTATCAATTTTTGGGTCACAAAAAGTTTTAAAAATTATACACGAGCTAAATTGTTAATTTATTTTAAGCTTAAATAATCTGAATTGCGGAATTGAGCTTAAAAACTAAATAAAGTGTATACACAGCTACTTAAGTTTGTGACACGTATACAACATGTGTAATTAATGTTTTTCCGAACATTAATTCTAAGTGTATAAGATAACATAATAAAATAAGTTAAGGGCTAAAGAGTAACAAAAACACGGCCAGTCAAAGACATCTGTCATTAAATAGTATCACTGTTGGAAATTAATTGGAAAAAAAAAAAAACTGTGATTGCCTACTGCTGGTGACTGACCGAGAAAGAGACGAATGAACAGGTTAGTGAAAGCAACAGACGTCACCCTGTGTCAGTTCTTTCAAAGGTGGTCGTATAATAAAGAGAACATTACACAATTGTTGTACGGCAACTGAAAACCAATTAAAAAGTCACTTATATAGCATGTAAACATGAAAGTGCAGTTCATTTGGTACTTAGTGCAAACTGTAGATATAAATTACTAGAAGTGACTGTTTGGTCTAATTAATCACTTTTAATATATATATATATTTGCATTGGTGTCGGATACAAATACTGGAGAAAACCACGTGAGCATTTGACTCTGCGTATATTTTCACAGTGCAAGCTGCTGGAGATGGTGTAATGGTATAGAGAACGTCCTTGTGTTAGGGGTTGTGTTCCTTGATGATTTTTAGAAAGGCAAATAACATCGAATGTGCTACCCCACAATGCTACATTTCTACCCTGATAAACATAGTTTTTTTCCAAAACTATAATGCCCAATCATCTGTTAAAAGAACATAACAATGACATCAGTAACCTTCCAAGGCGACTAGAGTTACTGGATTTTAATCTAATTTAACGTCTTCGGAATGAAATTGAACGTCACATTTGGAACCATAATCTTCTGTTAATATTTGTGAACAAAGTTTGGACCATACTCCTCACTGAACAGGTTACAATCATTAGCTATGATCTTAATAAAGTATTCAGTCAGTTTATATTTATGTTAAATGTGATGCTTTACATATTGTTACGTCTCTGGTCGTTTGTTAATTTCCCGTATAATTTCTTTCTGAAGAACTTCGGCGATATAAGTCCTTTCTTAAATAAAACTAGTTTATTCTTTCTCAATACAATTTTGCAATACACTTAATTTTCACAGTCACTTTAACTTAAACACACGCTATAATTCACAACGAAAGATTCACGCATTTTACTTTCTAATACTCATTACGTGTTACCAGCGTCACGTGAATTCCGCTGTCGTAACACTGCCCCTTCTTTAGTATTGTTCGTCCCGAACAATAGCCAGTTACATTAAACCAATAGATAATTAACAATAACTTAATTAAATGGGCAGAATTTACAAACACAAAATTAAAATTCAACAAAGTATCTTAATTTTGTGGGACGTATCTTCTTCCATACTGGTCTATTATCGGTAATAGTCACATCAGTGGTAGTAACTTCATGAAGGGCTTCACTATTTCCCTTCTCAAAACTGGGTAGAGTTTCTTCTCCAACTATGGATTTTTCAAGTGACACGTCTTCAGCAGCATCATTTGTTCTGCTGTTCCCTTTGTTCCATCTGAAATGTCCTGGACTATGATAACACCAAAGCCTGTTGGCATGCACCACCTTTGGCTTACCTCGCCGACCACATTTGATTCGGAAAGTCACGTCTGAGAGACGATCCACTATGTCATATGGACCTTTCCATGGAGAAGACAACTTAGGAGACTTCCCTTTGGTCTTCCTGGGATTATACAACCATACCTTGTCTCCTGGTACAAAGTTGACTTCAGTAGATCTCTTATCATAAGTTAACTTCATCGAATCAGCAGACGTTTTCAAGTTTGTACGCACTTGATGGTGAATATTATCCATCCTTTCTGATAATACTTTCACAAAATCTGACAAATTTTCAGGCAACTCTTCATAAGGTGGGCGTCCTGTTAACAGATCCACTGGCAACCGAAGTTCCCGACCAAAACATCAACTTTGCTGGAGTGTATCCAGTGGTTTCATGCTCTGCTGTCCTATAGGCCATCAACAGTGGAGGGAGTAAGACATCCCAGTCATCTTGTTGGTTATTACAAAACTTTACCAATTCCTGTCCCATTGTCCAGTTGTACTTTTCTACCATCCCATCAGACTGTGGGTGAAGTGGCGTTGTCCTGGTCTTTCAGATGCCAAACAACTTGCAGCATTCTTGGAATGCAGTTCATATGGCATACCAAATCTGAAAAAGAAATTGCTAATAGCTGAAGCTACAGTTGTAGCTTCCTGATTTGGTATTGTATATGCCTCAGGCCACTTGGT